GTTGATGAAAATATCTTATTGCCGAATCGATAATTCGACAATTTTCTCGAACAAGAATTGGGGTGATTCACGCGAAATTCGAAATTTTTTCCTTTTTTTTCTTTTTTTTTTTCTTTTTTTTTCTTTTTGTCAGATGTTGTTTAGCATTTGATGAATGAAGATGGAAAATTAGGGATGAATGAAGATGGAAAATTAGAATTTTGGGCTGTTTAATTATTTTTGAAATCGTGACGTGAGATTTTAGTTATTAGAAATTTTGAGGATAGAATTAATTGGAATGAATGGAGAGAAGATGGAAATTTAGAATTTTGGAGAAATTGGGGTATTTAGTTAGGTTTGAAAGTTAATCGCGACGTGAGATTTTAATTATTAGAAATTTTGAGGGTGGAGTTAATTGGAATGAATGGAAGTTTGAGAAAAGATGGAAATTTAGAATTTTGGGGAAATTGGAGTCTTTAATTATTTTTGAAAGTTAATTGCGATGTGAGATTTTAATTATTATGGGAAATTTTGAGGATGGAATTAATTAGAAATTGGAATAGAAGTTTGAGAAAAGATGGAAATTTAGAATTTTAGGAAAATTGGGATATTTAGTTATGTTTGAAAGTTAATCGCGACGTGAGATTTTAATTATTAGAAATTTTGAGGATGGAGTTAATTGAAATGAATGGAGGTTTGAGAGAAGATGAAAATTTAGAATTTTGGGGAAATTGGAGTGTTTAATTATGTTTGAAAGTTAATCGCGACGTGAGATTTTAATTATTAGAAATTTTGAGAATGGAGTTAATTGGAATGAATGGAAGTTTGAGAGAAGATGTGAATTTAAAATATTGGGAAAATTAAGGGGGAAATTTTGGGGTGTGATTTTTGAAACTTGATTGCGACATAGTCAAAAGATTTTTAGAAAGGTGAGAAGTTAAGATTTTAAGGTAAGAAGTTTAATTATCATGGGGAAATTTTTAAGGATAGAATTAATTGGAATAGAAGTTTGAGAGAAGATAGAAATTTAGAATTTAGAGTGTTATTTTTGAAACTTAATTTCATAGGAATCAAAAGATTTTAGAAAGAGAAGTTAAGATTTCAATTATTATGAGAAATTTTAAGAATGGAATTAATTATGATGTGTTCTTTGGAAGATAATGATTTTCTTTTCAGAAAAAAAATAATAAAAATTTAGAATCGCAATCATTTTGAGTACGATGAGAAATTTTGGAGTTGAATGTGACGCGTTTTATGAAAGCTGAAGAATTTAAAGGACGAGGAGTTAAGATTTTACCGAGGTTGAAGTTAATTGCGATGTAAAAGATTTTAAAAAGATGAGAAATGTATTCTATATGGAAAGTAAAGATTCAAAGAAGAGAAATAGCTTGTGTAGCTATTTTAAGAAATTTCAAAATTAAAATTTATTTGTTATACGTTCCATATTATCTAGAATTAGGAAATTTTAATTACTTTAGAATATTGTTGAATTAAAATTGTGCATTCATTAGAATTTTAAAAAAATTTTTTAAATTCTAATTACTGTAAAAACTTTCTTAATTAAACCTTAACTCGAAAGAAAAAATAATTTGAAAAAATTTCTATTAGAAATAAACTCGAAATGAACAAAGTTGTTAACAAACAAAGATAGAATAATTTTGAATCAATAATAAAACGAATAGAAAGTGATTCTCCAATTTTTAGTCGATATACAAAAAAAAAAACTTTGGTTCGATCGTAGTTGATATACAGAGAACGAGTTCGAACTAAAGTTTGTGTATTGCGATTACTATAGGTTTCTTTTTTTTTTTTTTTTTACAAAATTGTGTTGCTCATTATTGCACGTAGAACTTTATTTATTTTTTTTTATGTAGTAAAATTTTAAACGTTAATTTTGACACTTGTTATTCTATGAAAATGTGAGTGAATATTCTAATTGATGTGGCTTTATATTAATCCACCGCATCATTGCGATCTTTCAATGACTCCACTAATTGGTTAATCTTCGAAGTTCAACGAAATATACCAAATGATAATTATATTTTGATACTACAGTTTCTCTTTATAATATCCCTAAAAATTATATAATCTCGTCGAAAAAAAAAAATTTCAAACGAATTAATCAAAATTACATCTCACCCAAAAACAAAAAGTTTCACAAAATTCGCTTATATTCCAACGAATTACTCGTTCTACAAAACCTGCCATAACCTCGTCCAAAAGAAAAAAAATTCCATCCAAACGAATTAATTCGAAAAATTACACGAAAAATTCCATAAAAATTCACGAGCATTCCAACGAGTTATTTCAAACTACTAATATTCCCAAAAAACTGTACAATCTTCGAAATCTCACGCGTCCGACAACAAATTATTGCGGTTCGAACATCGCGCGAATTTGAAAGAAAAAGAAAGAACGCGGAATCAAAAATACGAAAAAAAAAAAAAAAAAAAAAATTTCCTCTAAATCAAAGAAAATGAGAGAAACGCAAGACGTTTGTTATTCGATCACGAGCACGAGGATATCGATTTTCAAGACAATCTAAACTTTCCAAAGCAGAAGTTAATTACTTCCTCGAGTTAATTATCGCGACTATCAAGCCCATCGTAAATAAGAAGGAATTGTTTCTTCCTTCCTCCTCCTCCTCCTCCTCCTCCTCCTCC